GGCCAGCATCTGTCTGGCAGGCGTCCCGGCTGCGCAGGTTACTGAGGCCTGTGCCAGCCTCAGGGGTCCGTCCGGGTGTTCCATGCCGGGGGGCAGAGCCGCCTGGCCTGGGGGTGCGTCCTTTCAGCCGGCTCTGCTCTCTCGCCCTGTTCCCCAGACCTGCGGAAGAACTTTGAGGAGGAGCCGATGGGCAGGGAGGTCTCCCTCGAGCAGGAGATCATGCTGGTGTGCCGCCCCCCGGAGGGTATCCCGCCGGCCGAGGTGAGTCCAGGGGCCACGTCTCCCGTGGCTGGCACGGGCCAGGCCTCGCTCTGGAACTCAACGGGAATGAGCCACGGTCGGGGGGCCCTGCTCGGTATCAGCGTCACTGATCGCCTGCAAGGACATTGATCCCCCGGATCCAGCTGGCAGGTGGCCCAGAGGGGGTGGGAGTGGGGAGCGGCGGGGAGCCAGGTCCTGACGCAGCGACCCGGGTCACTTGGTAAACGTAACCTGCCTGCATGGAGCGCGCTAGACCCAGCCCAGGGAATGCAGGGCGGGCGACAGGGCGGGATTGGCCTGGGAAGTTCCTCTGCTGCAGCACCCCGTGTCCTCCCCTCCCCCGCGTGCCCCAGCGCCCCGTGTCCACCCCTGCCTGACGCCCGCTGCCCGCAGGTGGAGTGGCTGCGTAACGAGGAGCTGGTGGACCCAGCGCTGGACGCCAGCGTGTACGTGACACCGGAGCACAGCCTGGTGGTGCCGCGGGCGCGCCTGGCCGACACGGCCAACTATACCTGCGTGGCCAAGAACATGGTGGCCCGTCGCCGCAGCTCCTCCGCCGCCGTGACCGTGTACGGTAAGGAGCCGCGGGGGCAGCGCGGGGCGGGGGCTGCAGCCAGCTGTGACGCAGGGAAACCCCAGCAAAGCAGGACCCCCCAGCTGTGTCCCCTCCCCCCGTGTCTCCCTGTCTGTCTCCCCGCAGCTTCCCCTGGAGCCAGCGAATCCCCCCGGAGCAGGGCACCCCCGGGCAGCGCCTTCCCCAGTGTGGGCAGCCCCCGCCCGGGCACCCGGCCCGCCGTTCCGGGGAGCCCAGCTGGGAGTCTCCCAGCGCGGCCGGTGCCCGGCGCCCAGGCTCGCGCTGACTCTGTCCCTTTCCCACCCCAGTGAACGGCGGCTGGTCGACTTGGACAGACTGGTCGGCCTGCAGCGCCAGCTGTGGACGGGGCTGGCAGAAGCGGAGCCGGAGCTGCACCAACCCAGCGCCCCTCAACGGGGGAACGTTCTGTGAGGGCCAGAACGTGCAGAAAAACGCCTGCACCACCCTGTGCCCAGGTACCCGCTCGGCCACCGCCATGCCCCGCGCCCATCGCTCTGCCAGCCCCAGGCACATGCACACGGCACCAGGGGAGAGCCATGCTCAGAAACGTATGGGGGATGGGGCAACCTCGCCCCCAGCTCTGCCGGTGCCCCTCACTCCCGACCCGCAGCCCC